TAATACGGGTGCTGCAGTAGCCGTCGACGGGTCGGCAGCGCTGTCTCCAATGCGCCATCACTGTGTACTTGTGTATTGCGTCCTACACTGGAAGCACTGCTGCCACAACAGGCCCTAGATCCCGCTGGTTCTCTCCTTCTCACTAGTCAGCCTCGTGTGCATGAAGGAGATGCGCCTACAGCCACATTTCGATGGACGGCATAATCAACGCACGAAAATTTGCGAACACTCGTGGCAGAAGGACAATATGGACACCAGGCATTCTCCATTGGCATCATGATCCACATCGTTGCCACTGTCAGCTGTACCTTGCTCCCAACCTTCTCGTACACATAAACGCACAACACAGTAGTTTTACCCTGCCAACTTCGTCCCTCGTGCTTTACCAACCCAGCCAAGTTGCCGCCACATTCAGGTCGGGCTTCCAGCAACCAGCAACGGCTGATGAGTCAGCGCTTTTTAACTAGTCGACGGAGGCGCTGCAATAAAGCATCGAAAGAGCGGGACAGAACGCAAAAAGTTGCGCGGCGCCCACTGGTTAACTGTATATCTGGGGAGGGGGGGTGAAAGCACGGACCGGGGGAAGGGTTAGGATAAGCAGCCCTGAAACGGACTGCACGCAGGGAGAAGTAAGGCGCTGAGGAAGAGTTGTGGGAGGAGGTTGCCGGGCAGAGAAAACGAGGATCACAGGGGTGGTTTGGGATGGGTAGTCGGAGTGGGTTAGCGGAATAGTTGGATTACTCAGTGAGGGGTACAGTGAGCATTGCTGCAGAAGGGGTGGGGCCGTAACTATTGCTGCTAGGGCACTGAAGAAAAATGGGTCAGGCGATGAGCGAAGTATTGGTGCAAATAAAAGCGAAGCAAATAAAGATCTGTAACCTTGTATGGTAGATCTTTTTCATTGTGCGATGCTATTTTGTGACATGTATCGTGTTCGATCTTGTCATGCTCGTTCTTTGCCGCGTCGGTCGGCTTGGTCGAATTTATCGTTTTTGCATATTGCGAAACCAGAAAGTTTTGAATCTCAGCTTAATTTAGTCTTCGATTCGCGAGGCGATATAGCTTCGAAGTGAACCTTGCGACGAAATTGTCGGCATCATGGTAAACTATAGGTTCGACACTTTCAATCAGGCGACTGTTTTCGGATAGTGCACTCATGACTTAGTGCCGTTAGACATATGCTAGCATTGTCAGGTCAGTGGCTAAATGAATTTCGAAGCTTGTCGCCTTCAGGTAGTCGTCGATTTTAAGGTCGGTCAAGGGGAAACAATGAGAAATGAGTGACATAGGACAAGCGTGAAATCAAAACCACTTTAACCTGATCATCAGAACCACTGGATTCCGCTCCGATTAACAGAACGGCACATCACCCAGCTCGTGTCCGTGGCCAGTTTCGAAGAAGTTTGGTACAAGCTTGCATTTTTTAGGCGGTACTGTACTCGCATGCATACTTAAGAATACACGCTGATGTATACCGTCAACGGTTGACGCGTGTTGCTGGCTTATCAACCATGTTCAACGCGATGACAGCGCAAAAAATTGATAACACCCCTTTTTCGTCATTAAATTCACTCTAAAATGTCAGAATGGCCGGACGATAATGTCATCTAGAGCGGGCCGGCTTGACTTACTTCTGGCGTCGCTTGCCAGCCGAGGAATAATACGTTTAGGCTTGTCGATAATTATACCGCGGCGATAAGCGATTTGTAAGCTTATTGATATTGTTTCTTGTTATCATACACAGCTTCGAGAGAAGTTAGCCGGGGTTTTAAACGATATTAGAATCTACACGGGCCACCATTACGGGGATTGCCAACCTACATCTTTTTCTACATGATATTTCATTGAGGTAATTTTTTTATACAGAGATAGTACGTAGACATGCATTATATGCTTAGAGTAATATTTATACCTGTATAAGCATCTGTAAGTAAGAAAATTCCGTTATTCATTCAAATTTCGTTCAACCAACCATTACCTTCATTAAACGTGCACCTTCCCTCGGTTGTCCTTTGCGACACTTTTACACTACTCAGACCCAGCGTCATGCAAAATCGAGGAAAAGGTGATCATAACAAAAAGCTTCGCAATTTTCTTGAAATCATCGAAGCTACCCCTCATCACTAGTCCTGCCGCCGTTAGCTCTGCTTCCGCCTGCCGCATCGAGAGACGAAGCAATCAAATGTCGGAGCCACCATGACTCGTCCTCGTCACCTGGTCGGGATGTGCTCACTACTACCCCCGAGACTCGCTTACGTGACAGCAGGAACAGTGGCAGGCCTCTGGTCATCGTATCCCCCCGGTTTCCCTTACCGACAGCCTTCTGCTACTCAACCCCTTTTCGGGCTGTCTTTGTTCACTCTTTCTTTCTGCATGCGACTGTTTTGTCACTTAGTTCCTCAGCGCGGTCGTAGTCCTTACAATTTCGTGCATCCCAACTTCCACCCTACCAACAAAGTCGATGTGACGTGAAAAGAGCCGACCGAGCAGCAACACTGCCGGAACCCAAAACCAAGACCAACTGAAATCGACTAGTTCTGACTAATCTGACACTATGCCATTCTCGTTACCCCATGTTGCCTCTCTAACCAAGTCGCCTGTAAAGCCTGCGTCGTTCCTCGATAAGGATGCTTTTTCGGCAGCAGTTTGATAGCTTGCTGGGTGGCCAGCAAAACACAGGGCCGTTCATATGCTTAGACGCAGATGCAGCAACGGGTGCCGCTGCTGTCGTTCCGGTATCCCTAGACAGCCAACAGCGGAGTTCGTTGATCGCTTTGTCCGTCAGCGAGCGGCCAAGAGTCTCAGTTAGTCTTGCCTGGCTTGCTTTCTCCTCGCTACTCCGCCTGTACTCTGCTACTGTGTGCTCTTGGACTGCCGGGCTGGTGGCCTGCATTGGTCTGCTGCTGCTGCTGGGGCTTTCGCGCTCGTTTTTTTATTGCTACGCCGACGAGCATAAGTAAGTGAGGGGCGCGTTGCTATCGCAACGCTCCCGTTAGCTCCCTTATCCCCTGGCAAACGGGGCTTTTTGGGGTGGTTATAGCAGCAGATCAGCAGAGAGAACGCCGACTCAACCCGAACGGGGGAGAAAAGGAAGAGGCAACAGAAGAGCAGATAGAGAATGGCGGCCTGGCAACACTACAGACGCCATAGTAGAAGGCGGGAAGGGACAGATAAGGGGGGCAGGAAAGAGGGGCAAACCGGGAAAAACTTGCCAGCATTGAGCAAAAAGAATCGCATGTTTTAGCCGTTTGGTCCCGGCTCCTTCCTTGTACGAGTAGCCCTCTCTTGCCCCCTGTGGAGCCCTAGCGCAACCCAAGCCAGTGCGGCGGCAGCAGCAGCAAAGCACCCAAGCTTTCGCACTACTCAGGGGTCCTCGCAACACCGCACTGCATCGGCCGTAGGGATGTCGTGAGGTGACTGTAAGACTGGTGTGTTTGCGGGGAGCACTTTTTGCATGACAAAACGTTTTACTAAGATCTGTTTATCGTGTAGAGGGCGCTGCACGTTGTGTTTCTGCGTTGCGTCTTGTTGGGTTGACTGTGTGAGGTGGGCTGCGGACCTTCACTGGATAGTGGGACTTAAAAGTGATAGAAGGAGAAGCAGCAATAGCAGGAGCACGAGGAAAATGTGGAGTTCGTGGAGGTTCGAAAAACGTCGAGCGCAAATGAAAACCCGGGAAAGGCCAAAAGTTGGGGGCGGCTCGCAACAGAGCGGCTGGCTGGTGTAGAAAAAAGGATCTTCAGGAGCAGAGAGCACATGCGATCAACGACGCAGCGCCACCTAGTCTGGCAAGCAAAACTTGAAAACTGTTGTGCATACATACTTTTTGTACGACTCAACGTGCAGCCGCACAACAGCTGAGGAGGGGTCCACAGAGAAAAACATGCAGAAATGTGTGCCTGCCGTCTGCTTGTGCCGCCGTCCTCCCGTTCCTTCCCGGCGTCCGGCCCCCCTCCCCCCCCCGCACAGCCATCGTACGGCCGAGTCTGCCGGGCCGTCGACTGCCAACGCCGTTGCTGCTGTTCTGATGAGGGAGCGAAACGGTACGGCGACGGCAGCGGAGGCGGCGGCAGCAGCAGGAGCAGGAGCAGCAGCAGGAATGGTGCGTACTCGAATGGTTTTGGATTTGGGCGGGCTACTTTTTGAATGCGGTAGTAGTAGTAGTAGTAGCATCAGCAAACGTCGCTACGGCCCGTGCTATTGCTGTTGCTAACTTTTCTTGCAACTTAACTCCTTTTTGTTGTGAGCGTAGAACTTGAGGGGGCATTATCTCGCGGTTGTGTTAGATGGGCTTTAGAAGAGGTAACGTTAGTGAGAGATATCCGCTGCCAAATTCACTACATCTCTCCCGGGAATAGGCTTGCGCAGAAGTGCCGATAACAAAAACGTCGCTATGCAACAGCAGCGACTGTGTAGAGAACCTGTGATTCTTTTTTGTTATTGCTATTGTTGTTTCTAGTCAGAACTCGAACGTACAATTCTCGTATCATAGCTTTGGTAACCGATAGCCAAATATGCGTGATCGCCAGCAGAGTTTATAGTTCAGTAATCTTCATCCTTCTTTGTTCTTTCAGGTTATGAAAAGTCGACTATGATGACCACGTAGGTCGCAATGCAACAATGCACTAGGGGTTCCATTGAGGGTGTAGACTATGATTTGCTTGTTATCAACGTGTGTCAACGCAAAATCTAGAAACAGGGCTCGATAGTAGATAATTAGGTACGCACATATTGACTGTCTGATGCATGACGCTTGGTTTGTTTCAACTCTCGACGCGTTATTATCAATATTTGTTATTGATTAAGAATAGCGCCTTTAATTGCCCAATGATTCCCCTATTGATCGCTTCTATAATGTAATAATCGACAGTCTGAAAGACACTTTGAAAAACCTACAACCACGTATTTCTACTAGGACTGCATTAATTCGTCATTTCGTTTAATTGACTGCTTTGCGAGTAGGTTGGGGTCCATCTGCCTGTTCTATTCGAACAACTTACTTTTCGATGCGTTTAAGCTGTTTGGAGACGTCATTTTGATCATTAAGCAATTGCATCTGCTGGTGCGAGATCTGCTCCAGCTGCTGTTGAATGCCGGCGGCCAACGCCACGTCACGCACCGCGCCCAGTCGTAGTTTCAGCTCTTCCTGCTGACGGCCCAGCGATCTATAGAAATACAGGCATAGGAGAATCAGCAGTAGTCGTTGCCATAGAAACAGGATCGGTGCGTCAGAAGGTGCACGTCCAGGATTGTCCCGTGAACCGTGTCCATCACGTAATCGCAGTTTTGCGTGCGAGTAAATCCGATATAGGTTTCCGGGACGGAGATGAAAGGGAGCCAAGGCCAGTTAGCACCACTTTTAGGTGTAGGCTAATATCAATACGTTGCATAAAACGTGGAAATATACAGATATGTAAAAGACAAATGCGGATAAAGTGACATTCGAACCAACTAATGAAAAGGTAAAACAATGATTTTAACATACTATAAATATAAGTTCGCGTCTAGAGTGCCTGCCCTCCTCTGTCATTGCTATTCCGATCCATTGTAGAAAATTTGTTTTTCTCTTTTAGTACACATTAACAGCATAAAATAAATACAATGAAATCGTGAGAATAAATGCATGTATACATTTGTGTAACGCTTTAGAACGCGTTGTCTAGCTAAAAAAGAACGCCAGTCAAAACGGTTGTGCCCCATCACCACCGGATATTATGGTATCATATTTTTCGATCTTTTTTAGCGGCTCCTATCCGTCGGAACCCTGTCTGCCCGTGTTACAGAGGCACAGGCCCCAAAACAACATCCGTCCAGGCGCTTACATTCAAACCTACCTGAGCTGTTCATTGATGTGTTCGAGCCTCTCTTGCCTCTTGCGTCTTTCGTCCTCCACCTGCGCCTTGTCGGCGGCGGGGAACCCGAGCTCAGCGGCCCGGGCTCGCTTGGACGCCGATGGCGTCCCCGCTGCCGTCGTCTGCGCGGGTGAACGACACTCGACGTCGCTTAGATCGCGAATAATCGTAACAGTATAATCGTGCAACAGTGAGATAGTGAGGCAGGCGTTGCAGGGAGATAAAGAATGGAAAAGAAAGGGAAAGACAAATAGTCAGGAAAGTACGCCATATTAAGGTGGTGTAAAAAAAGACGGTCTGATTTATCTGAATGCATTTGCGTATTCTTAGTGCTGCTAACTGTAAGAACGCTTAAAACATCGTTTTTGGGCTGGAAACAGAAATGGGGATACGCTTATATGTGGCATGTCGATGCGGATTGGAAATGTTGAAAGAAAATCAAATTTAGTCAAGCTAAGCTTCTATGCAATGATGGGCTAGACTGGCTCGTTAGTGTATTTATTGATGATCCAGCGATCTTTTAAAGCATATGCGTACCATAGTTCGAATAAAATATGTCGACAAACGACTTGGTTGAGGTCCGTGAGACTCCTACTAATAATCATCGGAGCTGAGCTTCAATCTCGGCCTACGATAGCTCTGACCAATACGCAATAGTACCATTGAAGTTTTTTTTCATAAAAACAAAAAAGACCTATTTTCTATTACACGAAATTGTTGAAGTTCAGCTCCGAAAACTCCTACGTTAACCCGGAGCTCAATCTCTTAAGAGGACAAATCCAAATCAATATGCTCTACGTAGTATCCTCTACATCGAGCGCTTACCGCATGCGTCTATTGCGACACTTACGTCTTCGCGAATTGGTTGAACGCACAGTCGCGTACGACCTGTCTGGCCAGAGGAAAGAGCTCTTCATGTCGGCTGAGGAGTGCAGGCACGTGACGACAGATTTGGGCCGCTGCCTCATTCACTGCCAGTTCATATGGACCCAAAGCTGGAACAGCCGACGCCGAGGCAGCTTTACGTTTACCGCTACCAGTCGGCTGCGGTGGAATTGTGTAGATAGCCGCGCATCTTCGAATCTCTTCCAGTCGGCGCGGGTCGTCCTCAGACATCGTCAAGATAAACTGGAAACGAAAACAAATTCAAACACGGTTCCTTGTATTGTTATGCTATCATCGTCGATTGATTAGCGACTATTCCTGATCGCAAACCATTGATTCGCCAACATATGACGGATTATCGATTACTATTTTAGCAGCTGAACGCTAGACTGCAGTTTGCCGTTGGAAGACCGAGTTGTCTGTAGATCCACCGAGCTTAGATTTGGCAACACGTACGTATGCTACATTGATTTATCATAGCCCTGTAAAGATGTCTTTATTTCGAAACATTTATTTTTTAAGTCCTTAGTGCTTCTCACTTATCAGCAGCGAATGTTGCTTAATGAGCAACCATGCCGATAGTGACAGATAATGAGCTATACATATATTCGATGCTTCGTAAGCTGCGACAGTCGATGGCTAAAGGGTCCGAATTCAGTTCATGGGCAAATGCTCGCTGCGGTTGATTAAATTCCAATTCAAAAAGCTGAGACAGTGGAGCCCGCTATTGCAGATGCCACTGCCAAGCTTTGCGTACCGGCTGTCCAGGAGTTTTCTGCGTAAGGGCCACTCGGTGCGAAGAACGAAGGCGCTTGAAGACGACCAAGTTGAATACAGTTGCCCTAGGCTATTTGTTTATTTATTTTTTAAGTATACCACGACCGTTTGCTGCTATGGTCCGCTGTGCATAGTAAGTAAGCGAACCATCACAAGCTAGCCAGCTGGCACAGCAAACGACGTGTGTGTTCGACATTTTGCCAAAATATTGCGTGAATCGTGACATCAGTTTATAGCGTTCTGCCTGATAGGGCTATTGATTAATAAGTTCCTGTGTCCTTTTCCCATTGGCCAGATATTCAGATAAGAAACTGTCGAGCTATACAGGTTATCGGTAAAAATAAGATCTGAGAGGTTTCGAGCAAATTTTAGGTAGGACAGTTTACTATGTGGGCCAAACAAAGGTTTCAGGCCCACCAGGAATGAGCCTGTTCAGTTAGTGCACAAAGTTGTCTTGAATCTACCTTACTGTTATTTTACCAATTGTTTTCGAACTACGATCGTATCATTTAGTACCCGTCAGACTGATCCGTGGTCAATACTGCAGAATGAAACAAAGGTCAGAATAGCGCACGCCTAGACAAATAGCCCGAATTACCACATTACTACCTGTTATTATGCTGCAAGTTTTATACAACGCCGTTCTCGTAGATCGAGTTTCTCTAACGGATCATTGAGCTATGACTAAAAGCAGGGACAGTCCACACTGTGTCCGCACGGTAGCAGGCCTAAACGGCCACTAAGACGCCCGAACAAAATCACCCGCCAGCATTTCTGAGGACACACTGTGAAATGACCTGGCAGCTGCAATATCATTGGACCGTCATAAGGATTCGAGTAACAACTACTCGTTGTTGTTGGCCCCGCCACTGCCGCTGCCTGGAGCATCGACGGTGGCAGCTCTATGTCGTAATATAGTGAATGATAGAAGATAAAGGAAAGTGGAATGCATCTAGCTACCCAGGAATGAATATAGCTATGGGTCCAAGGAGTAAGAGGCGCTCTTTGAAGAGCGTAGCGTCGTGAGGGGCGACGAAGTGCAATGAACAATAGTGAAAGTGATTGGCGTGGCGAGAGAACACAGAACAACAAAGAGACAAACAGTCTTATGTGCGGCATGCACTGGCAGAGAAATCAACTGTGAAATTGGCGCCAAATAAAAACCGGTTAACAGGACCAACAAAAACACACTTGCTTAAAACTCGTGCTATTTCAATAACACTCTCGATGAAGTCTTCCGTGTCGTCGTTTCCTATAGACGGTATTTGAGAGTGATTATATTTGTATGAATAGACAGTCAATCAGTGCCCGAGGATAAATTGCAGCATGCACAAAAAAAATATTTATGAAAAGTACAAATGTTGATAATACAGATCATCATTGTTATCTTCGTCGTTCTACATAGTAAATCTTGCGGCGCACTCATAGCGTAATGCAATACATGATACTTCGAACGACCTCAAAAGTAGCCGATCAAGTCAACTTCATCAGGTTCAAATGTAGTATGGAACTACTAGGCATATTGAAATATTTACCTGCACATGTGCCTTATTAAAGTTTAGAACTTTATGGTTTTTCGTAGAGACAAAAAAATTGGTTCGTCATCGTTAACTTTTAAATCGGTTCATTCCTCATCTCTTAAACAAAGCAAAGCAAAGCTTAGTGTCTCCGCAAATGTTCAGCATAAGTTCTGCCGCTACCAAATGTAAACATTTTGATCTATATGAAGACAGTTTTTCTTACCATACGATGCACACTATCCACAGTATGTTTGTTGCGTAAGTTCAAAAAGTAATTCTGCTCATTAGATGTATAAACATAGCAAATTTTGAAAGATGAAGGGAGGCTAGAAGTGGCTTTCTTTTATCGATAATTATTTATTTTCTACTCTTTTTTGGCATCCGAGATACGGGCAAGTATCGACCGACAACTGGCGGATGGTCGGGTGGGGCTGGCCCAGCGAACCCAATTAATACACCATCAACGTCGACATCACCCTCATTAGAAGCAGTACGCCAATCCCGATGACGATGACCAACGAAGCCGTAAGGCTGGAGTAAGGCTAGCAGGAAGGGCGACTTTAAGAACAGATTAACGGTTTTTGCTTATTTTAAGCAGCAGCAGCAGTATCCATTGCCTCCAGGTTGCTTTGCCTTTTTCGCCGAAACTGAAGAATCGCAGGCTGTAGCTTGGAGTGGACTTGTTGCACGACCCGAGTGTCCCTTGCAGGAAGCAAGCATGATGCCCTGGCAATTTTGTTATCTCGAACGGCATAGGGTATAGGGCTTGCTGTGTACAAGACGGTGGCCGAAGGTAAGGCTTAGATTTGCACGTCGGTGACCGCTGGTATATATTTTGTGGCTGAGCTGTATCACTCAACTATAACATTGGTCTGTCTATAACAGTAGGTTAGATTGAATTCGTGAGTATGGCTGAATATTGAGGCACCAGGTAGAACTGTAAACGAGCTGTGGGTCCGGTCCCGTTTTTCATGCCCATAAGGCCGTGTTTCCTCTTCATGTACGATCGAGTTAGCAATACAATCTTTCACTGTCGCCCTTTTCTCGCAACCATGATATCCTCAGCAGGGCGGCACAGGCCTTTTAGTTGACTCGACTTTCGTATCTATTCTCTATCTCGGCCGTCCTTGCACATTTTTAATCAATTTTCATTTTTTCAGCCTGACCATGGCTATGTAACTATGAAAAATGAGGCTGCGCGCAATCAATGTCAAGCCCTCGGTGCAAAAAGCCGGGAGGTGACCGTTCTGCGACTCAGTACCGAGGAGATATGGTATAAAAGTGCTGTAACAATTAGACCGATGCGTTCATAAGCTAAGCTTATGAGATGTACCAATTCAGAACATTATATTGTATAGCAATATCGATGTAGATTGTACATGTACCGGTGCAACATTTTCAGTATGTGATAAAGTTGTATTTCTGTTTGACCTCAAAGATATCCCGCTAACACATTTTCCTGCTTGCAGTGTCGATGCTCTCCCTGCTGGATGTGGATTAGTAGAATTGTATGATCTAGGTACGATCGAAGGAATCAGTGCTCTAAGGGTACCGAAATCGACAAATGAAATGCTGAGAATGAGCCTTTAGCTCGTGATCATCGGCCGTTAATAACAATAATACTAATTCGAACAACTTCTCGTCCAAGTTCGTATTCCTAGTCGTCTGCCGCCAGTTATTATAGGACTCTTCCGAATTTGATTGAATGCCTTTTCTGACACACCCTTTTGAGCCATATAAAGTTGCTAACTTATGATATGGCTCGTTGTTTCGCTCTTGCTACACTTTCCTACCCAGATTACCCTCAATATACGCTAGTTTCGCGGCGAACTAGATCAAGTTTAAGACAGGCCCGCACTCGTTTAACTCCACCACTTGAGTTCTTAATAGCAAGCAGTACCGCCATCAACCTGATGTGAAGTCAGTGGCTTGATATCGCTTGCGCCTGTTTTTTTTTTCTGTCATTCGTCTTTTTCGTCTGCTTAGTACTCGTCATCATCCTCATCTCCCTACTTCCGAATTGAAGAATAAAAAATGGCGCCAATATCGCCCAACAGCTGATGTCCGGGTAGCATCGGCAATGGGTGCGGTCTCTGCTGCTTGTACGACCATCGTTAGCCTCTATGCGCTTGATACGCTCTGCTCTGAGGAGAGATAAAGGACACGCGGGCAAAATTTAGCCTTTTTTTCACTCACTTCTTCATATCTCGTATTGATGACGGATGAATGCGGAGGCGGTCGCAGTGGCAGCGGCGGCAGCAGCAGCAGCAGTAGTAGTAGTAGTAATATTGACGAAGTGCAGTATAGCTTTTGACGAGCTCCAGTTCTTGGAGATGCGTTGGTGCAACATGTGCTACCAATATTTGACTCTTCGGTCTTAGGCCGCCGGGTCATCAGCTGCTACACCTCGGCCCAGATGCAATTACTACGCCCGTGCCCGGCTGCAGGTTTACTGGGCGCTACAATTGAAGGCAAGCAAGGGGGTATGCAGCACAAGCGATGGCAACAGCGGTGAAAACCGTAGCCACTCGAAGGACGGTAATCGGAGGACATTCAATATGTTAGTCTTGTGTGTTTATATGTATATGAAATACGCTGTTTGCTGGACGACAATGGTGGTCGACATGAATGGTGTTGATGGTGCCAGCGACAGGCGGTGGCTGGAAAGGCATGATTGGTTGCGCTACTTGAACAAGAAGCGGAGCGAACGAGCGCTTACCCAAAATCTTCCTAGCCTCAGTGGCCGTAGTCCAATTCTCTCGCCAGTTACTGTCACATTTCTAAGCGGAGAAAGCTATGAGACACAGCAACCGCCCGAAAGATTATGTGAAGACACGGGGCGTCATTCAGCTGAGTCATTGCAGAATCGTAATATGGCTTGGTTGACTGTGTGACTGACTGGGAAAACTGTCGAAAGCAGACAATTTGCTGACTGACTTCGACCGTACAGGAAGACATAGCAGGCTACATAGAGCATACGCATCGTTCGACGCATATCTAAACTCAGTTGCTATAAACCAACCATTGGAGCCTACTACTAGAATTAATTTTGTCCACAAATAGTAATCTAGTTATAAAAAAAAAACCCTACGTATTTTAGTCATTTCAATGCGATCAGTTATTTGCGTATCGCAAATCCGGGAGGGGCAAGTTACTACCTGCCAGGACAGCCCGTCGTTTACGCGCACAACGATGATTTAGGCACTTCATGACAAGGCTACAAGCGAGATACGGAGTAAATGGAGCCTGTGCCAGGCAACTGAGTCAAGCTGATCTAAGACGCTCAATCGTGCTTGCCATGAACGCCTAGGACGGCACACCACTTGTATGACCCCTTTCTATCATCAACACGCAGCATTCTAGCTTACCCACACCCTGTCTTCATTATCAAATACAAGCTGATCCTTTCTTTGACTGTTCTTCACCCTTGCAACTCTTGGCCCATTAAAGGACACTGGTCATTTAAGACGAATTTCGTTAAGAATCGCGTCCGCTAGTCGACGAATGCGTGTGAGAATGACCCCACTTCGGGAGAAACTGTCGCTGCTATACTGAGCGACACTCTTGCAACATTTGCAACGAGCCCGCCTCTTGGTTACTGCCGCGTCCCATCACCACCTCCCCCCTTCCGTTTGTCTCTCCCTGCGCACCAATACCCCAGGCGACTTATATAGATGCAAAGAGATGAGTGTGAGTGTTGAGCGAAAGGATAGCGAAAGCGGAGGAGATTGTGGGGGTCGAAAGGGTAAAAGCAAAAAGTTTTTTGAGTTCTCACAGCCTGGCAATCGAGCAGCTGACCGTTTGGTAACGGCCAGCCAGTGTAGAGACAGCAGGCGGCGCGACGAAGGGCATCTCTCCAGATAGAGCAGCAGCGCCAAGAGGAAAAGGGGACACCGGATTAAAAGGTCCAAAGAACCTTTCCGTTCGTTCAGGCCGTTTGCAGGCACTTTATGGACCGAGCGCAAAATAAGGGAGAATAAACGAGAAAGAGAGGGTAATCGAGAGGCTTCAAAAGCCGGAGATCCCAACTTGACTTGCTTTATAGGAACATTTGAAAACCACTTGGGAAGCCCTTTCCGTCGCAACGACGTTAAAGGAGTGAGCTCACTAGCAAGATACTTGACACTTTCAGCTGCTCCCGGAGCTGCGTCTGTGCATCTCACGGTGGTGCTCGTCAAGGAGCACAAGCAGCAGCAGAAAAAAGCGATACGATGGAATGCCAGCTCATGGCTCGCTAGTCAGATCGAGGCGATCGGTGTTAAAATGATCTTCTTTGCTCGTGTTTCTTAGCTTATGTTAAGAACAAAAGACACCATCATAACACAGTCTACGTTATGAAGCCCGCGTTCCGTTTTGCCACTTGACACACACACCGCTTCCTTCTTTTCTCCCCACCTGGTTGCTAAATGTGCCGATCCGAAGATCCGTGTGTATATCATGCTATATGGACGCGCATCACATCCGGCCTCCGCCCTAAGCATCAGGCGAGTTTAGTATTTGTTTCAAAAAAAGCTATGCCAACATTGTCCTAGTGATTACTCTGAGTTTGCCTTATGTGCCGTATATCGTTTATTCAGTATGGTTGAAATATGAATGCATATGATATCAACCGTTATCTTGATTCGCCAATTCTTGATCTAATCCGTAAACTTTTCGAAATGACCTATTGTGTAATGTATCCATATATGTGCGAAAATGGCCGCCAAAGATAGAATGGAACTTCTGGAGTGACTCACCTCCATTTCTTTGGGCAATCTCTTTTTCATGTTCTTGAGGTCGAAGGGTGAGAGCGTTGGTAGAATTGATCTGACGAGCAGTTCGGCAACGTCCCCAATCTTTGTGAGCTGCTGTTCGTCGAGGAGACACGAAGAACTCGTTACGGACGATACGGACGAAACCGAACCGCTGCCCAGGCCCCCTCCCGATGAAGGCGATGACGGTGAAAGGCGACCTCCGTTCTGAATAACGACGTCGATATAACGATCAAGTTCCAACACGATGAAAGGCGCGTGTAGAAAACCGAGTAGCAGTGGGAAGAAAAAACAGGCAAGATGAAACCGATTCACAATTAGAACACACAGTCGAAATCATTGGAGATGGGATAGTTCTGACGAACCTATCTATATATATATATAAAAAAAAAAAAAAAAAAAAAAAAAAAGAAAAAAAGAATCAATTCAAAGTAAGTGGAATTAACGACGATAAATCAACGAGACATATCATCAGGATATGATAGAAAACGTGACATGTAGCAACTAGTCCTTGAAAGTATTGACCGTTTTTCTAGCTAGATTACCTTGAGGATGCATGTTCTAGGTAATATGAGGTCGTTGAAACGTGAGATTTAACAGTAGCCTATGAGAGAAACCTGTCTCCATTCGGATAAGTGTCCTAAAGACGAACGAAATTTCTGATTCCAGAAATCGTAAGGCCTGCATGTGAGTAGTTATGATACTCCATTAAGGAATTTAACATACACCTCCAAGCGGTTTTAAGCCTCTAAAGAAAGCCGAGTATAAAAAAGGTTCAGTGTCTATGAATTAACGTGACATAATTTACTGGCCCCTATTTTCATTGAAATCGCAAATTCAATTGAAACGGTTGATTACGAGTGATAAAAAGTGGATCGAGTGAAAATGAAAGAAAACAAGGAAAAATTTACTACACAGTTGGTAATGAAGGCCCGGCTAACAGCAACGAAAGTGATACTAAGTGTTCGGTGAATTGGTAGTTTCTGGTCTTCTCTTTTTTTCTGGCCGATTTGAACTCTAATGGCCAGCATCTCACGACGAGCCATTGAAAAAAAATCGACCAAAACTGATGAACAGAAAGGCGTCATCTACGATGACAATGCCAGACCACACATAACCCCTTTAGTTACTTCAAAAAAATTGGCAATTTTTTCTTACACGCGCTGGGTAGCCCGGGGAATATTACCATAACGTTCGGTTCCTGCAAAACTCCTTTAATGGTTGATTTTGTTTCAGTAAAGGGATGATTACTTGTCATAGTTGTTCGCTTAGAAATCATCAAAACCCGACAACGATGGGATCATGGTGTTCCCAAAAAAATTACAAATGATTATCGATCAGAATGGCTCATCTCTAGCTTAGTGCTATTACCTTACAACAAAATATCTGCTTTAATTTTGGCTTGAAAATGGTCAATGTTTTTTACATAAACACAAAATTGATCGGATGGAACGGTTCGTAGGAATCGATTGTGTATGTTTCACTGTTTCAATAACAATCATAGCTAATTCCATTTAATTGCAATATATATGCTTTTCACAGTTGCAATATTTGGAGAATTCGATCAGTAGTCGCGATCAAGGCGTCTGCGATAAGAAAAGCTAGAGCCTTGTCTTGGTCAGAGGCTTTCCTAGCGCGAACCTTCTCCATCAAGCAACAGCTATAGGCGATTCTACAAGCCTATAACAAACCCGATAACTTCGTGATTAAAATTGCACAGGATCTTAGTAAGGCAATTTAACTTTTTTAAATGAATATCAACGGCACGGGTTTCCATTACGCGCAGATTGAAGAAAGTTTCGCATAAAACCCACTTCGTTTACTTGCCGAATTATTAACCAATAAACTCTTCGCTTTTATTCGGTGTAGCCCGTCAGGGTAGTAGCAATCAAGTCCTTTAGCATGATTCTGATTTAGGCGATAATTCTATCTTACTGAAGAGGAAAAATTTGTTTGCACAAATGACTCTGTTCTATTAGAAAACGTAAACCTCTAGATAGGTAGCTCTGAGTGCGAGCTGAAAGTCTGTTGTTAACAATGAACTTCAGAGCTGAAGAGGTATGACGAATCACTATGATGCAAGTTATATACGCGGTACTTGTCCTTCGACCGTATATAGAGGCATTCATATGTATACATATATAAGCACACTGGTTTATCTACTTCCGTCTAGCCAGGTAACAGCCGTAGCGGCGGTGTTCATATCTGCACACGCTTAAAAAGTACGTATTCAAGGCATTTTGAGCAGAAGATAAGGCAAACGAAAAGAGGCTTACTAGTCTCGCGAGAAGGACCAGTGGCCGTTTTGAGAAGTGGTGGCAACTTCTTTTGACTCGACGATGTGCCTAGACAGGCTCTACATTTCGTTTTTTAGTATAAAAACTAAGAAATGGATCTTCGAATTTTTCTTATTTGTTCCGCTTACGTGTGTTCTAGCTATATGTTTTTGATCAGAAGGCGCTATCACGTTTACAGGAAACACCACTAGGAGGATGTTTCTCTTTTGTAGTAATTGTATGTTCAGAGCAATCTTCATAAGCGCTTTGTTTATCCGTTTAATAAACGCTCTTAAAATATTAATTTGGCATGCATGGCTACGCAGTAGTTCGAAAAATCGTGCGCGAACACGTTTAGTATCAAACACGCTTTTCTGGACATATCGATAGTGGACTAGAACGACACGTAAATCATGGTAACCTGTTAGGAATCTATTATTGCCACTCTAACCTTCATCATTAAATTACTATAGCCGAAGCTGCATGTCACTGGAAAATAATTGTTCATAATTAGTGGCATCGTTAGCAACTGTAGTCGTAGTTGGCAACCGAATCCTAGGAAATTTCTTCCAAGTTTGCTAACCACCTCGGACAGGGCACAGGTAAAGGTTGACCAGCTCCGATCCCGGACACGATCTGTAGTTTGGTCCAAGGTCATGGTAATATCCGTGAGATTCTTCTTTATTTTGATTATTTTTCTATTTATTTAATTGTGCTTGTATTGCTAGCACAGGCAGAAGATAGCATCGAGACATCAATGCGAATCTGCACACGGTGACTGGTCACTATTTCTGTGATTTAGCTGCATCGTTCACGAGCTCGTACCACCCAGCGGGAATCATTTATGAGGGCGAAACTGGCCAGATGGTGGCTTCTGTAGGTCTGATCTGGTGCTAGCAAGAGACTCCGCAATCTAACCTTGGATGGCCTCGCTTAATGTTGGCGGATGCAGAGACCGCTGGCGGCCGATGTGGGGAACTCATCCGATGAACAAAACAACACATTTTGCCTTGAAACTGTAAGCAAGTACCTACTCTGTATAGTTACAATGTAAATAAGCCCTCAACCCCTAATTCTCTTCTGCTCTTTGGTGGTTCACTCAGATATGCACACTTATTATTTCAAAGCATCATACCAACTACACTGAATATACGGGCAGTGAAACCCGTTGATGTTTCTGGACCAGCCAGAATAATAACAACGATAATGGTCCAAACAAGCAACGGCGTCGAAGGGTGTTGAACGTGACAGATGCGAGATGTTATAACCGTGAGTTTATATTGTCCGGATCCGTCCGAACTAGGAGACACTGCACAAGTTAGAGCAAGCCAAGCATTTTCTCTTAGATAAAAAAAAAAAAACAATGTTCTAAAACTTTTACAAGATGCGAGCGACGGGTGCATCTTGGCCGTACAGAATGACAATCTAAAAAATTTGCCTGTTTTGAGTGACGTTCTAGCGTAGAAGGAGAATGATCCATGGAATCTGTGCGCGCAACCGTCTGGGCCGTTCATAGTGCTATGAATGAATCTGTCATAGACGTCTGAGGTGAATATATACAACGTATAATTTCGGTTATCTCCAGCGAAACATCTCATGTATATCTTCATCCCGTGACCAGCTGGTATTCTTATGGAATAAAACCTGTATCACGGTAACAGTGGTGCTGTTTCAGTAAAACCAGCTCAAGTAATCATATGATTATAATATGTATACATATATGTACTGGAATGGTGGCCTAAAGGGCTAAAAAAAAAGGCCAAGAACCGCACATCCTATTAAAAACAGACATTACATGACAAATATGATTAAATAAAGGAACGATATATTAAATAAAATAGTTTTCCTTGCAGCTGTTTTCACTGGCCAGACTTGCCAACTTTATTATTTGTCAATTTAACTCTTCGAAAAGGAAGTTGCGTGCCATGAAGTTTCCCTGAGCCCGATGCAATTGGGTCTAAAATTAGCGCACGCTAATTTCCATTGGCTAGTTGAATCCGACGCAGTGGTGAATCTTTACGCTCGTTTTACAAAGAGAAACATTAAAGCCGTAAGCGACTCGATCATCTTCCCGCTGTTTGTAACAGCTGTTTGAACTTAGATCATGGAAAAACCAACTCGGCGTAGTACGGGCGTTTGACGGAGACAGTTTGCTATCGGAACGATCAGCGATAGCGGAGCTAATCAACTGATTGATGGTGTAGGTAAACATATTTGGATGACTATGTCCGTTGCTTAGTGGCAGTCGACTTTGATCGATATCAATGTTTTCGGTGGCTGATTATTATAGTAATACGATAATTGCTTTTATTATCTTGAGCACAAGATGAACGGTGCCCTTGTGCTGATTGCTAGTACAGGCACCAGATGATTACCGACCGCGATCTTTTGTACTACACCGAATAGAGCAGAGTTCACATCAAGGTCAAACGGGCCGCAAAGGAGCATTTTACAATCACTCAATGAAACTTCCCGTTAAGTTACCGACAACCTCTAATTTATCGTTGCTCAAAGAGTCAACAAGATGAAAAGGCTAAGATGAGCGCTTGTAGTTGAGAAAAGGAGTGTCGTTGACGGCTGGTACCTGGACGTTTACGAGCATTCACATTGTCTAAATGAGTGCGGCGCTTTTATAAAGGAAATGAAGTTTGTTTTTTTTTTAAATGAACGAAATGCTATCGTCGTATTTAGCAAGTCGCGAAATAAAAGTTTCGCCAAGTGAAGCGCTCAGCACGTCACGTACGATCGATGCGTTGGCGTACAAAACTATCCGGCGTCGGTACTATGTTTTAGACTATAAAATAGACAACAGAAAGTCACCTTTACGCAGTTTCGGCCAGCCTTAACATCGACGTCCGGCACGGCGATGGGACTAGCAGCTATGCTATACTGATTCGCAATGACTACAATTCTGTGACCCCACACTGGTAG